GGCTGCAAGAACTCCGAATTATATATACGGTAATTCCAGGGCCTTTCTATACCAATTTTTTTGTTGTTTGAGAACTCAAACTGAAATATTTCTTCTGGCAGATTACAGAGTTTTGAAATTTGATGTTTTTGGAGTGCAGATCCTCCGTGTAATGGAACCCCTCAAGTGCCTAATCCCTTGTATACATGGTTTAAAATAATCACTCACCGACAACTGGTATGCATTCCTCTAACTGCAACATACCTAAAATGTCTAGTTCCAATTTAAACAAGGCTTTACAAAAATGTTTCATGATGGGAGTTAAAAAAAAAAAAAAAAAACACACTTTATGTGAACACCACAGTCATGCCTGTGCCATTTATTTGTTGAATGTTAATTAGTTCTTAGAAACCCAGTCCGGTCAACGTGGTTGAACTGCTCTTCACCTTTCCCGTGACAATGCTCGCAGATTGCTCCAAAACATTTTTTTCTTTAAACAGAGAACTGTAAATAAATGTGTGGCTGATCTTCACCTCTCAAATTATCTCTAATAAAACAAAAGTCACACATTAGCTGCCGGATAAAAATGTGTTTAATAGGATTTTCTACTTTCTATTTTCTACTAATATCTACTTTCTATTTCTTGCCACTTAAAAAGGGTTTCATATTCTAACTATAGGTTGATATATGTAACAAAAATTGTGTGATAGGAGGGCGGAAAAAAGTGATCATATGATGCAATGGAAAAAAAAAGACATGTTTGCTTCATTTTCAGAATCTGAAACACCCACAAAATGCCAGAGATGTGCCAGAGTGTGAAAGAAGATGACCTATTTTAAAGAGAATGATAAGGATGGCTGAAATATGATGTGTAATGGGTAATTAAGCATCTGATTTTTGCCACACGCCAAGTTCCACCACGTTAATACGTTGAACATTATGCCTGCTTACATTACACAAGAAGGACTGATATACTTTAATAAGAAAACTATAACTTTCTAACCATTTTATTTTAAATGGTTACTTCAATATTTAAGTTTATTAACTGATCTTTTATGTCACATCTTTATTAATTGCATGGTGTCTACATTTTGGAAATAATGTAATACAGGGTACTTCCAAGATACTACATTTACAAAGAATTATGGGCTTTCAAAAAACAACCCAGCAGTAGCTCCTCACTGAGGCCCCATACAGAGCTACATGTAGTAGCTGCAAGAAGGGGGGTCTTGTCCTTCCTCTGGCTCATTCAGCTGTGTATGTGTTCTGAACAAAACTGAACAGCAGGAAATCAGAATAGATTATTTGTGTCATAGAAGCAAATGACTCCAGAAAACATGCAATCAGCAGAGCCCTACCTGCTAGCTGAATGTGGTAAATATGAAAATTTAAGAGGTACAGCCATTTTTTTTTTCATTTTGGATGTAGTTGGGTATGGTTGGGTATGGTTGTGAGTTTTTTCCTCTTTGGGGAGATTTCCCTCATCCTTCTGTCCAGTAGAAAAAACAAGAACTGAGAGGAGATCTGTCACCGGAGTAAGGGTTTCATTGGATGATTTACCCACTATTAAGGTTCTGGTGACAACATAAAGTTGGATTTTTCTTCATTTTTAGTCTTAACGTGATATTAAAGTCAAATGAATTTTAAGCTATTCCAAATGCTGTTTAAAGGTTTAAGTTCCCCGAGCACTGGTCCTGACTTCCTGTTTTAGAGTGGTTTCTTTGTCAAGTAGGGTGCTATGAAGTCACCCTTGTGTGTGCTAGTAAGCTGTGTGCGTCTCCACCAACACACAGACACAGCAAATCAAGCTACTCCCCTCCCACCTGGCCCCCTATCCAAGCTAGTAGATGAACAGTTGCTGGAGCCTGCTCTGTCCTTTTAGATCTTGTGCTGGACAGGAATTTCAGGGAAGCTAAACCAAGAGACTTGGAAGCAGCTGTACACAAACATGACAAACAAGTCTTTGGGCAAAAATGTAAAGCAATTCTTTGCTGAGCAATGTATATTTGTTTGATCTGGATTATTGAAAAAAGTTTGAGAGTTTAATACTACTTTAATGACAATGGTCAAGAAAACAAAATCGAAGGGAAAAAAAAGAAGAAGATTTGATGCTGGATAAACTTTAGTAATTACCCGACTAAAAATAAACAGAATATGTTGAAAATGTCTTTAGCCCTGAACATAAATAACAGGCAAACACAATACACATGCCCTTTAAAGAATACTAAAATACAAACTGCATGGACCAAAAGTAAGAAGACTGCAATTTGTAAGTCCTGGGATTCAGCAATCATTCTCAAAGTCACTAGAATTAACTCCGTGAACACACTTCCTGTGAGTGGGACTTACTAAGAGCAGATAGCTTAAGCTGCACGCAGCATTGGGAAAAAAAGATCTGCAATTGCCCCAGGGCTTGTTCACACCGAAAGTGTGTGCGTTCCAGAGCGGCAGCTGCTGAACGCACCGCGATCGCTGAGAAACTTCCCCCCGCGTTTTGGGGCGGGAGGGGGCGTGGCGGTGCATTGAATTAAATGGCACCGCTTTCACGCCCCCACCCCGTCCCCAGTGCGATCGAACGCGTGGCAAAACTTTGCCAGCGTTCCGTTCCACTACAAACGCAAAAAATAGGGCAAGCTTTCGGTGTGAACAAGGCCTGAAAACAGCAGAAAACTCCTCCACGAAACTGTAGAGAGATGCTCTCAAAGTCTTATTGTTCTTTAAAAACTCCTTAAAAAAATAGTTCAGAATAAATGTTTCAGCAGCACAGTGTTCCCAAAACTACTTTTGGTTTCTGTGAGAAAACAAAAGTTGGGTGATTTCCTACTATTTCTTTGAGAATTACAGTAATTAGCAAGAAACCCAAAAATCACCTAATTGTCCATTGCTGACTTCACTTCCAGCAAGCAGATTATTAATACAGAGAAAATGTCATATACTCAGTCCTTCACATTCAATCTAAACAAAGATTCATGTTACTGCAGACACAAAAAGACCTCTGTGTCTTTAAACAACCAAATCCCAGGAATTAATTCTGCCTAAAGATAAACAAGAATTTCGATCCATAATCCTGCACCCACATGGGTGTCTGGTATCGCTACCAGCGTGAGCTTCACCTATGCGGAGAGGGGGTGGGGGGGGGGGCAGCG